TGTTTTATTGCTCGACTCAACTGGCATTGAAGAGTGAAGGTTCGAAACAATCCAGTACTGTGTAGTCTTAAAACCCTCCTCCCTACATTTCGGAGTAGGATAGGTCAAAGCGGATGTACTGCGATGCCATCGCAAATCTAAATCTCCCCCAATAAATTTGTCAAATCGAATGGAAGCTACCATCATCGGCCACACCAACGCACAATTTTCAATACTCTTTATTTGCATTCCACAATGGTGTTTATATTTTTTTTAAAAATAAGTGCGCATTTGATATCTCATGGTGTACAAGCTATGGTGTACACAGTAAAAAAAAATCTTAATTAGATATAAAATTAGACGTAGTTTGGCTGAAGGTATCCCCGCGGGTCCCATTGAGCATTCCTCTGATTCGTGTTCTATTTCTAGTGCAAACACATTTGTCCTGTTACCTACTGATGAGGTTGAGGTGGAGGGAATTGTGGCGAATCTTCGTAGTGACTGTGCTGTGGGCTACGACGGCATTTCTGGCTCCTTTTTAAAAAAAATCATACATATTTTAGTTTCCCCGATAACGTTCGTATGTAATCTTTCCTTTAGTACCGGTGTCTTCCCCGAGGCCATCAAGCTCGCTATAATTCATCCGATGTTCAAGAGTGGGGACAGAGGTCAAATAAACAATTACAGACTTATTTCAATTCTGCCCACCCTGTCTAAAATTCTAGAGAGACTTTTAAATAGTAGACTGATGAATTACATGGAACAAAATAAATTGTTGTCTAACTCTCAGTATGGTTTCCGGCCTGGTATTTCTACAAATAATGCTGTATCAGACCTAACTAACGAAGTCGTTGCTAAACTTGATAACAAGCAGAAGGTGATGGCTGTTTTCCTCGACCTCGCCAAAGCATTCGATACAATATCAGTACCACTACTCATTACTAAACTGAAAAGGTTGGGTATTCGAGGACTTCAGCTTGACTTTTTGTAAGTAATCTTGTTGATAGACGACAGTATGTTAGGATTGGAGATTTAAACAGTAAGGAACTTCCGATCACGTATGGTGTGCCCCAAGGCAGTATTCTCGGCTCTACCTTATTTTTAGCGTATATTAACGACTTATGTAACATGCAATTAAAAAACGGTTCTATTTTTACATATGCCGACGACACTGCCTTGATATTCTTTGGCGAATCCTGGGAGTCCGTGTTTTACTATGCGCAATTGGGCTTTAATTCAGTTTCTGCATGGCTTTCTCAGAATCTTCTCACCCTTAACGTGGATAAAACAATGTGTCTCCCTTTCTCTCTTTCAAGTCGTGGTCTTCCATCCGCCACCTCTTTCACTGTCACGGCTCATTCGTGTCCTTCCTTTCCTAAAAATTCCTGCTCTTGTCCATCCTTACTCCGCACTCACTACATCAAATACTTGGGTGTCCAGCTAGATAGCATACTTTCTTTTAGCTATCATATTGAGAGTCTTTCCCTACGGTTACGTAAATTAATTTATGTTTTTAAAAACCTCAGTCTCGTTGCTGACGTGAAAGTTTTGAGACTTGTGTATTTGGCTCTCTGTCAATCCCTCACGACAGTATATGCACCCTCGTGCATACACAGGTTTTTAGTGGGTAGGCCGCCAAGGATCTATCCGGCGATCTATCGCCGGGTGGGTCGACAGAGGAGAGTCCCACACAACCCCGCCATGCCATACCCCGTTGCGGGCGATGGGGTATGCATAAAGCAGTTTCCTGTGTATAAAAAAAAGGTGATCTCCAGAAAATTGTGGTAAAAACATAAGCATCTAAACCATTAAACGATAAGCAACAGTATAAATTATAGTGCTTAAGCTAAGTACACTAAATAGATGAGCATGAGGTTAGTGATTACCGATTAACAAGTTGCACCTTATATTATTGACGACGTTGCACAAAACGTGACTGCAAACTGTATAGCACGTGGCCAAGATAACACATAACGTTTTCTACTTAGCCTGCAACAACAACCAATAATAATAACTTGCGAGCCAATCACGCCAATAACCTAGTCTCGAACTATAGAATTCGCTCTACGATGAACAAATCTACAAAAAAAATTTATAAAAAATGAAACTATTTTTCAAACAAACCAACGTTCTGAAAAAACAAATCGAGTTATTCGAAGAACAGAGTCCGTTGTGATTATATAGCGAAAAGAGAATAGGTAGATTACAAGAATAATTTCGTTATTCAAGAAACTAAGGCCTATGTAAAGGTGTTTTGAGAATTTATATACCTTATTTCGTTTCGGAAATATAAAATCAAACAATAGTCCATCTGACATCCAAAGCGAAGAAGAACGAACGAAATGTACTATGTCCTGAGAACAAGTAGTCTTGCACATAGATCTTTGTTCTACGTAGGAGTCGAAATATACGCGATTTAAATCCGGAAGAATAGTTTCATTTCCTATATGTAACAATCGCGAAAATAAACACCCTATTTATAACATAAGCTCATAAACACTGATTCTTGTGCTAGATTTTCGTTTATATTTTTTTCAATAGCGCAGATGACGTAAAATTGCGTTATATAATTAGAAATAGGCATGTAATGAAACAAAAATAATTATTTAACTTTTTTAGGATACCAAGTGACGGGACTAACAAGTCGTGCGCCTGGTGATAAGCGACACGCCTGTCCATAACAGTTGTAATGCCGCTCAGAGCTTTAAATGCCAAAGATCTGAGAGGTTTTGCCACTGCGCCCGTCACTCTGAGACTTAAATAAAAAAATACCATATACCTGTAATTTCACCAGCACCTTACGTAATCAAAATCGTATCGCAGTAATGCTCACATTACTGCTTGGCGGCAGAAATGGGTAATTTGACGTACCTACTTCTTTGGACGTACTTTTTCACAAGGAGCTCTAACTGAAACTTAATAAATAATAAAATACATACAAACTTCACGTTTCACAATGATATTCAATTATTTTTGTGACATTAAGCCACAGTTTGTTATAATTATTAATACAAAAGGTCGAACACGAAAAATAATTCCTTCGATCCGGCTGGATTCGAACCAGCGTCTTCTAGCAAACCGTGCCAGATTCTATGACAACTAAGCCACGGATCGAACCAACGGAACTTACGAATTTTTCTATGTACTTGTGCACATCTTTATTTTTGGTTTTAACTACTTTTATCCGAAGCGCCATCTGTGAGAAATCTATTTATTATCATGATATTTTACCACCATGATATTAAAATATTTTTTGAGAAATTACTGCACTTTTGTTATAATTATTAATACAAATATAGATCACAAAAAAAAATCCTTCTATCTGACCTGCGTAAGTATGCCAAACTAGGGCCACCGCTCTACCCATTGAGCCATAGGTTGAGTCAGCATACCGTATTAATTTTAGCATGTGTTTGTTACATATGTTTCGTATTGGTTTTTTCTTTTCGGCATTTAATCGAGACTTGTGAGAGACTTAAAAAGCTTCTCATTCAGCCTGTACCTTTGCAGATACTCGATACTGATGTGACATGTCGCTGTATTCTTTTTATATAAATGAAGTGGTCCCAGTTTGGTATATGCACGTTCCAGTCCCCTCAGATCGAAGGACTGTTTCTTTGTATTCGATCTTCTCAAAATAGTTGTTTAAAAAACTGAGTTTCATTGGGAAATTAAACTATTTTTCCGGATTTAAATTGCGTATATTTGTTTTTTCAAACAAACCAACGTTTCGGGTCGTTTTACAGGTCCTATGGTCACGGTTGACTGAGGTGATACCACCTTATGTGTAATATTAATGCAAACTACATATAACTCAGTCAACCGTGACCACGGAACCTGTAAAGTGTCCGAAACGTTTGTTTGAAAAGAAAAAACAAATATACGCGATTTAAACCTGGAAAAATAGTTCCATTTCCTATATGCAACAATCGCGAAAACCTAAGAACTCGATATGACTTTCATTAATTCTTTTCTGTATTCCTTATCTTGCAGCTTTACTAGATCGCTATGCTGCCCGATCCATGACGACAAAGGTATCTCAGTAGTGGTCCCATTTAAATTTCAAGAAAATATCCCAACGCTAATGGTGGCAAACTAGGGGATGAATGACGTTTGAGGTCGTCTTTTTAGTACTCTGTACTCAGATTATGTATTTATGTATTTTTATATAATATTTTATATTATTATTTGTAGTTATGTGTGTTTATGTATATTGTATACCAAAGTAATGAATTCAATCAATTTAGTAATACAATTTTTATAAGGCATGTGTAGTGAACTGCACGCTTTGCACTTGAAATGTAATCCGACTTGGTTTTTTATTTACGCACATAACAATTGGGATTGTCTAATAGTAAAGTTAACCAAACAAAATAATAGATTTAATGTATAATAATAATAATAATATAATATAAAGCGCACACTCAACATAGCCCCGCACTAGGGAAGCCCTGTGTCGCGGGTGCCATGGACACACACATAGACAATCACAAATTACACCCAAACTCACGAGAGAAATAACTGTAGGCCATACAATATTTCTCCCGGCCCGGGAATCGAACCTGGTACCTCTGCTTGGCAGTCCGGCATGGTAACCTTAATTGATTAAATCATAAAATAATGAAAATCCAGTAATTTTGTAAAATTAACTGTTATAAAATATTCGTCAAAAAATCTTAAAATAAGATTATTATATTATTGTCAAATGAATTGTTAGTTGCGTCAGCATTAATTAAGGAAGACAAGTTTAATCATACCACGTTTGTAAAATAAACTCATAAATCAATATGTGCCTTTTAAGTGTTGCCGTAATTGGTTAATAGACAACGAGAGACGTTCATCTTTGATCGCAATTTACCTATCACAATCCGGATTTTGATTCCATTTATCGTGTCCATAGTTAACTATAATTAACTTCGATTATAAAAACATCGAACTTCATTTGCCTGCACTGCCAACGATGCCGGCTACAAACCGCCGTAGGAAATGTTTTCTTTAGCTCGCGTTCGGACAAACTACCCGCGTGGTTCAGTTCGGTATCGACCTCGCGTTGTTTCGCACTGCTGCGCGAAACGAAACGAGAACGCATTCTAAATATTCGAATTTGTATTTTAGAAATTAAAAATTTACGTAACGTTAGAGAAATATTGATTTCTAAATTTAAAAATAAAATCATTTCTTTTTATTGTTTACTCGAAGTTCAAATTCAAAATCTGACCTAATTTAGTAACTGCACGAAATTGAATGACGATGCTGTAAGCTGAAAAGGCGTGAACTGTTTAGTGTATAGTTTACTTGAGTGAGAAAAATGGCGAGTGCGCTGATCAAGTTGCAGAGTTTCGGGCAGAAGGTGAAGACTAAGGATCACCAGGATTGCAGAACTTTGCAGATGCATGTGCCGACACCGACCTCTGTGGAAGTTGAGTTTACAGAAATTACGTTGAAAGTTTCAGAAGGACTAAGGTCTAAAAGTAAGTACAACAAATTTTCGTATGTGAATAATTTACGTAAATGTTAATTGGGCAATCACTTTCCACGAAACACATTATTGTTTTAATTAGTTAACGTTGCTAATTCCATTTAGAAAGTCGCCGCTGAACAAAAGTTAGAAATAACAACATAAGAAGTCCATTATTGTGAACTAATTTTGATGCGTATATTTGTACCGCAGTATAAAATAATAAATGAGTCGCAAAAACAAGCACAGTAACGGTTTCGCACAAACGTGTCTGCCAGAACAAGACACCGTCTCTTGAAAAAAAAAAATATGCATGCACAGCTCATATGTCAATTTAATTTAATTGTAATTATCACGACGATATTTTTATAAAAAATGACACAGATCATGTTTTAAAAAAGACCGAATGAAACATCCATAGTTTTGAACTACTTTGAAGACGCATTGCAAAGTTAATAAAATATGTATTTATTCTATTGTTTGTTTCGACTATGCTAGAATAAAACTTGTTTTATAAAACCAGTTATTTTTCTATATTTTTTAATCCTATACAATTGTAACAAACAAGCACTTCGTTGTTTTCAATTTGTGTTTTAATTTTTAATTCAAGATTACGATGTTCACTAGTACATTTAACCAAATAAAGCTATAAAAACGGTTTTTTATGCTAATTTAACTATGGAACTTTAACTAAATCGTTTATGTAAGACGTTCAATATTATTTTTAAATAAACAAATCCTAAAGTAATATTTGCTAAACAGCGACAAAAAATCCATTAATCCCCTAGGTGTTTACTTCTTTTTAGGTGCCAAATCTGCTACCACGTTATCCAAATTATGTATCTGTCGACAACATTTGATCACATCGACTTTCAGCGTCAATATCGTCACATCACGTCATATAAATTAATTATGTTTTCATTAAACCGTTGAAAATTCATTAAAAGCAAATAATCAATTTATGTAAGTCGAATTCGGACTTGCATTTCTGAGTTTTCGGATTTTTTGTGCGAAATTTAATTTGATATTTACCATGAGCTTTTCGGTGCAGGAAAACATCGCAAGGAAACCTGGTCACGTCTGCAAAGCAATTTAATCACAGAATTGTTTGGCCTGTAAATTTAAAGATGTAGGGAACTAACCTAACCCAAACCCTCTCATCATGGGACAATACATATTACGTAGGCTAACTATTGTGATTATAAAATATAATAATAATAATAATATAATAATAACACACACACTCTTAGCCCTGCACTAGAGAAACCCTGTATTGCGGGTGCAATAGACACACATATAGACAACCACAGATTACACCCAAAGTCATATGAGAAATAAATGCACCCCCGTAGAAATATTTACCGGGAATCGAACCCGAGAACTCTGCGAGATTGGCCGTCATGGTAACCGTTCGGCTTCTGAGGCAGTTTACCTATTTGATTGAAAATTCAATTATAAACAGTGGTCTCTCAATAGAGTATGCGATGCAAAAAAAATTGAAAATACTGTTTTTTTATAATGTCAAGTGACGCGTCAAGTCGTGCGCCTGATGGTAAACTACCCGCCTGTCCATAACAGTTGCAGTGCCACTCAGCTCTTTAAATCGCAAACATCTGAGGCATACTGCCACTGCGCCCGTCACCCTGAGACATGAGTTGACAAGTCCCACGTGCCTGTGATTTCACCAGGATGTTATTATGTATTCGTGTGATAGAATCTAACTTTATCAGTATTTACATCTAATTTTCCGCACTAGATTTCAACCTTGAAAAAGTAATTACTACCCGTACTGACCTTAGCATGTCCACTACATATATGTGTGTAAATGTTTGTTACACGTAATAGATATAGTTATTGTTCTATCATACGACACGCCAATTGTAACTACATACATTTACAATCAAGTTATGTACATATATGTTTACTTCTATAATATTGGTACACGTGCCTATTGCACGTTATGTACTTTTATGGAATACACGTCGGCGTTTATGACATAGCAATAATCACTTATCATTGTTATTGCAAAATTAAATGTCATATAACTAAATAATACTTACGCTCAGCAGAAAAGAATTTTTAGGTCGAATTTTCTCATTCATTTAAATTAAATAAACATCACTAATAATATATACAACTCCGTGGTCGAGTTGTTAACACACTGGTTTTCATGGTGTGATTATCTCCGATTTCTCGGGTTCAATCAATGTAGAAAAAACAACTTTTCTATTGTCTCGGGTCTGGCTGTTTGTGGTGCGGTCGTTGTTTCCAATTTCTATAATACAAATGCTTTAGTTATTTACTTTGGGATCGTATGAATATATTAACCTTGCGTGGTGTATTTTACGAGTATTATTTTGATTCTTATTATTTATTTCAAAGCGTATTCGGGTAATGTACTCTTGCCACATTTAAATAAATAAAGTTGAAGATAGATCGCGTTGTTCTGCAATCGTTTTTATGTACACATATGTTCTACATAATGCATTAAAGATAAGACTTATGACTTTTACGATTTCTTAATAATTAACATGTTATATATCTGCATTAATATAATATAAATATTATCTATTTATAGTCATACCTTTTAGGATGATTATGATATGCTTTTTAACATATAATGCTAGTTGCCCTCATTATGAGGCTTCTTAAAGTCGAGAGGCTACGTGGTTTTGACGACTGGCGTAAGTAATAGGTACGAGATTTTAAGACCTAATTATGTAATGATTACATACAATACTTACTCTACATGTAAATAAAATAATGAAACACAACCAGTATTTAATGTATATTTTGTTAACAACGCATGACAACAAACTCAATTTTTTTTTAATAAATTTTCACCCATTTATTTGGATAGACAAAGGTTCCAATAGACGTTAAAGTACCGGCACGCTATGATGGCCGTTTTAACGTTTGTCCGCTCATCAAGTTTCGTATTAATTCATAACTACGTTGAAGGAGCTAATTGCTGTACATTTTTGTTAATAGTGACGTGCTGTAAAATTTATGTAATGTATAATTTCACGACTAAACTGGGCATTTGTTTTTCGAAATTCGATTTTTTTTTAAATAAAATCTAAAACGATCGCTGGCCAGCACAACTTCTACCTCCGACAAACTCGCGTCTAAGCTCAATGCAAAACAATGCAGTTTCGAATTGAGGATATATTATGTCAACATTTTTATGTTCGTTTTATTAAAACTTTTTAATCAGCTACCCCTTGCAATACTAGTTATAAATATAAAAACTTATAGATGCAACTCGCATTTGGTTATATTTTTTTCAATAATAATTATTATTGAGATTTGACCTCACTATACATAACAAAAATACGACGTTCTTTTTTTGAAACTATAATGAAATTTTTCAGTTCAGTAGTAGATAATAGAATTAAAAAACTAAAAAAGGCTGCACGTCTACAGACCTTTGACTTTCCGCAAGGAAAAAGAAAAACAAGTAAGACGAAGACGAAGAAGAAAAGCGCCTTTGTGATATGGTTTAAGAAATTATAAAAAAACAGATTAAGTACAAGAAGTGAAATAGTATATTGTATTACAAATGAATAAAACCCGTCATTTTACCCGAGACAAGTATATCTACCCGAGCCGCAGGCGAGGATGGATACTTAAGTCGAGGGTAAAATGGGTTTTATGAACGAGTTATACACTTTGCTTTTCACTTCGATTGCGAGGAAATTAAACAGCAATATTACAAATAAACGATTATTTAATTAAAATTGAATGTAAAATTACAACAATTAGACATGCAACACGGATTAAAAAAAATAAAAGTAAAACTGTATTTTATAAAGTTCTAGTGTGCATGGCTGTTGGCGCAGGCGTCATTGCCTCAGTCATAGACGACGATTTTATTTTATGCACTAGAGCATACAATCCTATTTTATGCACTAGAGCATACAATTCTATTTTATGCAGCCTACACCCAGCATAAATACGAACTTTAAGAGCATGAGAAGTGAAAAATACATTTGGTTGCTTTTATACAGTATTTTTATCGTTGTAATCTTAGAATAATAACGCATAGCATGATAGTTTCATATCAAACGAACTGTCACAAGTGAGGCAAAAATCAAATTCATGTAGGCTAGTTTTAGTAGTAGGTTAATTTTCGGTTTTAGTGAATATTTATATAAAAATACAAGTTGAAACGCGTTACTTCCGTGTGGAATGTGATGTTAGTATCTATTTTATGTTTGTCTGACGTATTTTTACACTCATTTACCGCACATTTCGTCATTTTTAGCTAAAATTCTTGAGCTGTTCGCGGTGCAAGTTGACCTTGAGCACTGACGGCCCGCCCGCTCGTGTAGGCCCTTTGGGAGCGCTTCAATTTGCCTCACTTAGCGTGTGCGGACTAGGTTTCTATGCGTTATTATTCTAAGGTTGTAATGCTACACTTGGCCTTTTTTTATACTGGGTTTTCACAGAAAGTTTATAATTATTAACAAAAACTTCAGTTACCTATTCTGCCTTCCTTGTCATAACTTTTTAATTTTTTAATTTTGCGTATTCTATCGCCTGTACCACGGTGAGTGCTCTGAAGAGTTATTCAACCTTATCCCTTCCTCTCCTTTCCATCAGCGGACCACCCGTGCCGGACTGCGTTGCCACAGTTGGACGGTCAGTTCAATACCGTCCCGCACTAAAAAGTTTGGCAATTCGTTCTTATGCCGAACCATCAAATTGTGGAACCAACTCCCGGCGCATGTATTCCCTCCCCTCTATAACATCGGGTCCTTCAAACGTAGTGTGAAGAAGCATTTGGCCAGACCGGCAAAATGATAGTGACGGAGTGAAGATATTTGTGTTTTCCATCCGTTACTCTCATCTCTGGACTGTATTCGCACTTTCCATCAGGCGCGGACAGTCATTTTGCCGAGTAACAATAAAAAAAAAATAAAAAAAAACTAACGCATTTACACTTCAGTACCTTTCGAGATATTGCGACCTAAAGTTTTTTTTTTATAAACTGAATAGAGAGGGCTGTAG